CTCCACCGCCTGCACACACCATGCGCTTCTTACCACTGACGGTAGTTACCTGCAATTTTTGGCAATTTTTTGGATAAAGCTAGGGTAAACTTTAGCACTCAGCTTTCTGCGTGGATGTTTTCAGCTCACATGGGGAAATCCTCAGTGCACAATTGCTGGAGTATGTGGAAAGAGTATGTTACTTTTTTTTTTTTTTTTTTTGGTGGTACTGGGGTTTGAACTCAGGACCTTGTGCTTGCTAGGTGAGCACTTTACCCCTTGAACCACATCTCTGGTCTGTTGTATTTTAAGAAATTGCCAAACTGGTAGCAGCGACACCATTTCACATCCCTACCAGAAGTGAGTGAGCATTCCCAGTGCTCCACACCCTCACCAGCATTTGGTGGTGTCATTGTTTGGGATTTCGGGAATGCTCTGTTGTGTGGTGGCATCTCCCTGTTTTAATTTGCAACCTCCTAAGACTTGTGATGGGGCCATCTTTTCATCTGCTTGTTTGCCACCCGTCCATTTTCTTTGCTGGGGTTTCTGTTTAGATGTTTGGCCCACTTTGCGGTGGTCTGTTGAGGCTTCCGAGCTCTCTGTGTGTTTTGCATGCAAGGACTGTTTTATTTTCTTTTTGCAAATACTTCTCCCACTCTGTGAGCAGCAGAGTTTTTAGGTGAAATCCAATACCCCCAGCGGGAGCCTTGAAGTATTTTATTAAAACCAACTTCATTTTAGAACAGTTTTCAGTCAGTCACAAAGAATGGAACCCTGTGCCACTTTCCTGCCTGCCACAAAGCTGCCGTTAGAGGAGCACGTGGGCCCACGCTGAGCAGTAAGGAGCAAGTGCTTCTTAAATGAAGCGTTCACAAGAGGACGATGATGCACGAGTCACAGGGTCCTCGGACGGAACGTTCGTGCACTCAGCTGCTCCTTACTAACATCTCGCATGTACTCCATTTGCCACAGCTTGGGAACAGACACTGGTGCACCATTAGCTAAAGTCCAGACTTTATCAGCTTTCCCCACTTTTCCCAATGGCGTCCTCTTTCTGCCCCAGGATTTCAGAGACTCCCCTTGACCTGTCCTCATCACATCTCTGCAGGCTTCCGGCTCTGACAGTTTCTCAGACTTCCTTATTCACCATGATCTGTGTACGGTGCCCACCCTTTTATTGGGATTTGTCTGATGTTATTCTCATGGCTGCACTGGGCCTGTGGGTTTTGGGGAGGAATCACAGAAGTGAAGTGCCTTCCCTGTCACATCACATCAAAGGGCACACATGGTCCATCTGACTGGTCACTGTGACCTTGACCTTGATGCCTGGCAAGGTTGTATATGCCAGGTGAAGTTACCTGGTTACTCCCCCTTCCACACTTGGCACTCTTAAGGAGTAGGGAGGTAGGTTCCATCTCCTTAAGGGTCCAGTAGCCACACAAATTATTTTCAATTTGTTTGGGAGATTTGCCCCCCCATGCCACCATTCACTTCTTAATTCTGTCACTTCTTCATCAGCATGAGCTCATAATACTCCAGAGGGGAGTGGTCCTGGATCCCCACAGATACCAAAACCCCCGAATGCTCCAGTCCCTTCTATGACATGATATAGTATTTGCAGAAAACCTAAGCACATCTGTTGGTAGACTTCATTTATTTTTGGTGGCCCTGGTGTTTGAACTTAGGGTCTTGCACTTGATAGGCAGGTGCTCTGTCTCTTGAGCCGTGCCCCCATCCCATTCTTGTAGACTTTAAGTCATCTCTGGACTACTTATAATACCTAACACAATGCAATGTAAGTAGTCGTGCTACTGTTTTGTTTTCTTATTTGTATTTTTACTGTTACACTTTTTAAAAAATCTTTTCAATCTTCAATGTGTTGAATCCACAGGTGAGGGACCAGGAGACATGGCGGCATGTTGTGCTTTGAGTTGTAATCTTATACTGCCTTGTTACTGCTTTGGATCAAGGTCACTGGATCAGCTCTTTCCCTGCCCCTTAAGGCAGGGAGATTGACTATGTCTGTGATACTCTGGGCATCCCTTACCTTCTGCTTTCCATCCAGGCATCCTTTAGCCTCTCACATTAGTGCTTCCCAAGATACCTGCTGGAGACCACCCAGCCTTTCAGGGAAAGAACTGCTTTTCATGGCTATGAGTCACTATCTGACCAAGTGACAAGCGTTTAGTTTCTGTAGTCTCTCGTTCTTGGCAGGTGGCTACATGTTGGATCCACACACATGGGCACACACCCTCCAGCTGCTGCTCTGTGTCCACTGGGTCTCAGTAGCCCTCCCAATCCCTTGCTTCCCTGGCCTTCCCTCCTTCCAGTACCACATCCCAGGGTCTGGACAGTCTGTGGCTGGTGCTCTCTGTGCTGCCAGGCCCCACCTCTCACCCCTTCCCATCAGCGCCTTTCAAAGCACATCCTGGTCACTTCCTAAGCTGTGATGTTACCAAGGAATTTCTAGGTTGCTGTGTGTGCATGTGTGTGTGTGTGTGTGTCCTCAAGGGCATTTCAAGTTATCATAGCTGTTCTCTTCCTTCCCATAGGTCAAGTTGAGGGTACTGGGCCACCTGTGAGGGTGTCTTTGTTAAGGTTCCAGCGTACTTTCAAAATGGAAGAAATCCCAATGCATAAAAATTGAGGAATATTTTCAAAGAACTATTTGTAGATGCCCGTGTAAGTCCCAGTCTCATTGCAGGGGAATGGAGTATTCATTAGCTTTACACAACAGATCATGTGACCCCCACAATGCCGGGTTTAAAGTGATTGGGCAGGTGGTTCGGTCAGCTGCAAATGTGGAGCCTCATTGGGCATCCTGGTGCCAATGTGTCATCCGAGCTGGGTGGCAGGGTTGGGGGCTCTGCTGATGTCACCAGGATGGGTCTTGTGGAGGGAAAGGAAGCAGTCAGGAACATCATTCAAAGAGGGCACTGGAGCCCTGAAGAAAGCTGCCCATGTGTCACTGATGAGCCTGGGTGTTGTTCATGGACCCCATCATGTATATAAGACACGCCTATACATATTCAGTTTCACTAATGTGCCCAGCAGGCTGTGGCTTGGCTGAAGGTGTCCGTAACTTGGAGTCTGTCACTATAATTCAAACCCAGTTCTGATTTTACTGGGTGCCCCAAGCTGTCCTGGGATAGTACTCCAACTAATAAAATGATGCAAGTCCGTGAAAATAGCGCAGTATAATTTTTAAAATCTAGTTTGGACTGCCTGACTCTTGCACTGGGCACATGTAGACAGTGAAATGAGAAAGCAATCCTAACAATGTTGAAGATTCACCTTGCCCCAAACCACTTCGTCACACCCATTTTGAGGTCCCTGCCAAATGGTCCTTTTTTGCTCTTTGAGACTCCATTCCCGCCCTAACCCACCTCCCTCCCTGCGGTGGTGGTTTTACCCCAGGGAAGGGACCCTCAGATGTCTTCAGATGCTTGCAGTTGGCCAGGGAAGCCAGTGGGGGAAAGGCAGCAGCAGGGTGTTGACCATCCTACTCTCCGGCGGTCAGGGATCTCTCTGCAGGTGGCTTCTCTGTGCACACATGCCCAGTTCCCAAGTCTCTGTGCAAACCTGGAGCCGTTCTCCTGGGGAGTTTTCCCACACCTTTTGTTGGACTGGATTTTCCTTGCTTATTGTGGTTTCTATGCAAGAAATTGCTCTAGAACTGAATCCTTTAGTTGTTCCAGAAAATCCCTGTTTTATTTTAGAACTGTCTATAAGCCCCTCTCATGGGCACACAGCAGGGACAGGCAGTGTAATCACCAGGAACTCGGTGTGTAACAGGACAGAGGGAAGTGTGCCCTTTCTGTCAGGAGAGTAGGCAAATCACACCTCCCTAAATAGCAGGACAATGTCCACAGAGCCACAAGAGGCCCCTGCAAGTTAAGGTTACTCCTGCACCGCTCACCACAAGAAACCAGGATGCAGGGGGATCCAGCAGTGGATTTAAGAAGCACTCAGAACAGGGAGCATTCATGGTGGGACCAAGGTGGAGGTGGATGGTCAGAAGGGAACTCAAGCCCACTTACTGCATCCTAGTAGCTCCTCCTTACACTGTGTGTGGGGTGACTCTGTGTGTGGAGACAGAGTGACTCTGAACTGTTAGCATTTCTGGGTCACACGAACTTGAGCTTTGTCACGGTACTCTGTAGCTTTCCCTACTGTAAATGCCTCTCAAATTAACCACGATGCCCCTTGCTCAGCAGTGGCCCCATAAAAGTTGGGACTGAAATCTGCAGTATAACAAGCACCAACATCCTCAGCCAGCAGCAGACAGCCAGAAGGTCATCTGTGGGAGTGGGGACCCTTCTTAAGCCCTGACCCCACAGAGGCAGAGCTCACCCTTCTGTGTCCTGGGCTGTTGCCCCACCCCGTGTGTAACGGTGTATTGTGGTGATGAAGGTCTCTGCTTACCTAGATCGGGAGCCCAGGGGCTCTGTCTCTCTGTCTCACCTATGTTGGTGTGCGGCCTGGTTCCTGGTGTCTGCAGAGATGCCTGTGAGCACCACAAGACTGAAAGAAGAAAGGCAACGCTGCCTTCTGGGTCTTGAATGAGAACCCTAGACCACTGTTCCTGTAAGGGACATGGTGAGACAGTGCCACAGGGCTCAGTGCCCTCAGTGAAGAGGGAAGCTGTGGGAATCCTGCTGCTGCCACCGGTTTAATTTGCACATGACCCTGAGTGTCACTGTCATGTGACTAGGCTGCCTGAGCATCCCTGACTGCCTGGACTCAGGGTCTCCAGGCAGTAGGAGCTGTGAATACCCGGGAAGACTCTTTTTTTTTTTTTTTTTAAGCATTTTTATTAGTGACTGTTTGAGATGACTAGGGGAAGGCAGAAGAGGAAGAGAAAACAATAAATAGTGAATAACATGGAAATACATTGCACCTGTGTAGGAAAGTGGGCGGCCCATTCTTTGAGTGTCAGGTGCTTGACAGTGGCTGACTAAGTGACAGAAACTCAAGTTCCCTGAATGTGGGTCCTACAGTCCGTGCTTTTGGTCCCTCAGAGACGCCCTTGACCCTGGCTGCCCAACTGGATGACTCCACAGAGATCATCAAGACTCTCAGGAATGGCGGGGCTCACCTGGACTTCCGTGCCAAAGACGGGATGACCGCCCTGCACAAGGCTGCACGAGCGAGGAATCAGGTTGCCCTAAAGGTACGTCCAGGCCCATCTGGTGTGGGTGATGCCTTCTCCTGTCTGGGCCCCTGAAGTTGTGTCCATCATGGCTCCCAAATGCCTCTCCTGGGAGGGCTGGGGACAAACCCTAGCCCCAGTGGAGCTTGGAAGGGCAGCTTTATTGAAGGGCTTATGTTTTCAGCCCTTAAGACCAGCGCTGAAACCCAACCCCACACCCAGGAAGAGGCTGCCATCCCGGTACCTCACTGAGCAGCCTCGCTGCCCTACCTCTGGGTCTTGGGAGTGGGTGGCATATACCCCACCCCTGTGTCCCCCCCAGCCAGGTGGGCATGCATCCTGCAGCCGCTCTCTCCTACTGCCGATAGCAGGTGCCCTATGCCTGTCTTCCATCCTGTGTGTCTTGCACTCCTTGATCAGCCCAGCAGTTTGGGACACTTCTGGACAGAATGGTGGTGCCCAGGCCTGTTCCCCTTCAGAGCCTGGCAAGCAGGGCCAGGTCACCCACTGCAGGATGATCCATCGTGGGGGCTTCTCCTCATCTCTCATTCTCCAGCTCATCTCTGCTGCCCCCCATCCCCAGCTTCCTCAGAATCAGATACGTTCCAGGCTCAGCTCCTGGCGTCACGTCCTCTGCCTTCCAGCTCCCTGGGCTGGCACTGGCCTGTGCGTTAGGCTAAACATTACCCTTGCTCTTCCCAAATGCCACCTTGCTGACACAGGTGCCCACTGGGACAGAGGGTTCCAGTCCATGGGCAGCTCTGTCCAAGTGCCAGCTCTGCATCTGTGGAACATCCCCTCATCTTCTGGATGCAAGCTGTCCTGCGTGCCTGTGCCCCATCTGCTTCAGGCCTGGAAATGTCACTGCCTGCCTCACTTCTGGGGTGGGAAAAGCATCAGAAGCCCAGGTTTGAGTCAGCCTGGCTACGGGACCTCTCAGTCTGCATGCTTCTTTATTTCCCTCCATCAAAAGATGTTCTTTGGCTCTTTTCCACAGACCCTTCTGGAGCTTGGCGCCTCCCCAGATTACAAGGACAGCTATGGCCTCACACCGCTGTATCACACGGCCATTGTCGGGGGCGACCCCTACTGTTGTGAGCTCCTCCTCCATGAGCACGCATCGGTGTGTTGTAAGGACGAGAACGGCTGGCATGAGATCCACCAGGTATGGCTGCACCTCCACCTGGTACACCTGTCAGTAAGCTTTGATCCCATGACCCCCAGATGTCATGGCGGCCATGCTCAGATCCCACCTTTGGGTACTTTGTTCTAACTTACATCGAGTTCCTAAAAAGTTTGGGTTAATCGTCAACATTCACACACAGGCATATTTACCTAGAGATGAACAACTCCAGTTTCTCTGGAGGGATTGGAAGACTAGGTAAGCATCTCTGCACAGTGACCTCTCTTTCCCATGAGCTGTCCAGGTCCTGCCTTCCTGGGGACCCTAACAGAGATGACTCCAGATGACCCAGGGTGGGGTCTGAGACCTCACCTTGCAATCTTGGGGTTAGGAGGTGTGTCACCTGTGGTCCTGGCAGGAAACAGAATCCACCTGGTGGCAGCAGTGGACCAAGAACAGATGTGAGTGGGGCTCAAGGTCAAGGCCCCACAGACAAGCAACAGCTGGGAGCCTTAACCACCTAGGCTGAGGGGCAGGAGGCCCTGTGTTGCTCCTCAGCAGGGAGGTGGGGAAGGGACTCCATCCATCAGAGCTGAGCTTAGAGGGTTAATCATGAAATCCTGAATACGAGGAAAGCCTGGGGTCCCCTAGAAGGGAGCAGTTCTGCCAGCAGAGCCTTTGTACCCAAGCTGCAGCTTCTGCTCCTCTCTGAGGCTCCAGCCTGTGGTGCAGGCTTCAGACTTACAAATCCCATAATTACATGGACCAATTCTTTCAAATATTTTAAAATTTAAATTCTTTACAATTTTTTCTGAGCCCCACCCCCTTCTGCCACATACACATTTCAAAGTACAGTGGACAGGCAGAGTCTCCAGTGTGGTGGGGTCTGCAGTGGAACCAGATGCCTGCCGGTACTATAGGGATGGGCAGGGACATGCCAGAGCTGCCTGACGGTCCCAGGAATAAAGTCGACATGATCGAGGATCGGGGGGACACATGTGGGCAGCAGCTGGGCCTGTGAGACACCTGTGGGGGAGGCAGTGATGGTCCCTGTCAGAATGACCAGGCTTGCACACACTGCTGAGGGAAGGACAGCCATCCAGGCCTGGAACCTGGCCTAGAGGACAGCAGTTCAGGGCAAACCTCCCTCCCACTCCAGTAACTCCCAGCTTGCTCTATCAGCCAGATTCTCTGGAGAAAAGAGCCAGGAGGGTGAGGGGAAGTGGGTGAGCGTGCAGGTGTATGCATGGGTCCATGCTGGTCTCTGTAGACCTATGGGCTCTCTGTCCAGGGAGTCAATTAACCATAGTTGGAAAATACCTGGGGGGATATCCCTCTTTACTCAAGATTTTTGTACAGACTTTTTTCTTGTTATTATTCCTTAAATTGTGCAGTGTAACAATTACGGAGACGGCAGTTACATTGTTTCAGGCCTTAGAAGTCAGCTGATTAAAACTCAGTGCAAACTCTCCATCATGTTATAGACAGATAGCATCATGGGTTTGCTATCAATGGGGTGGGCGTGGGAAGTGGGGGGCAGGGGATCCCGGGACACAGCCAAAGATGTCACTGGCAGCGTGAGCGGGTGCTCACCCTGGTGCCCAGGGTTCTGGACACCAGGATGCAGGGGTGAACACTGCACATCCTGACGCGCCTCACGATTCCACGGGGAAGCCAGACGTGAGATAAACAAGTGTAAAAACACTGCACGTACACAGGCACACATATGCTTACACATGTCTACATGTAGGTGACTGTGCATGGGGAGGGGACAAGCATGAGAGCTCCGTGTCTCTGTGCATTGCTGCTTCTAGCTCATGGTGACCAGCAGGAGCAAGGGAAAGGTGGATGCCCCTCTGCCCATCACTACCTATAGCTGGTGGTGGGGAAAGTGCCATGCCTGCCCTCAGTGTGGACTTGGGCTCCTGTGGAGACTATGACAGGCAGTTCCCATGGGATAATTCCACCGTCCTGACAGAAGCAACCTGCAGGGCTGCTTCAAGGTGCCCCAACCAGAGAGGGCAGCACCCAGGAGATCAGCTCCACTTGAAAAGCAAACAGGGCTGGCTGGAGATCCCTGGCAGGGGCAGGACAGGAGGACTCTGGGTGGTCAGGGTGGCCATCCATGAGATGTTCCCTAACACTGGGTCAGGTGGGGGTCACAGAGCCCATGACTCACTTCCTTGCTAAGTCCTGCAGAGTGTTGTGAGGCAACTCAGCCAGGGACCAGACTACACGGTGGCCATAAGAAGATGAGGAAACTGGGCTTCCCTCCCCATCCAAATGGGCAGCTGATTACACATCAAGACTCGTCCTTCCTGTGGACATTGTTCATTTTTCTGGTTGCTCTTTAGAATTCTGATAGAGGTCAGCCCCTCTTCACTGCTGCGTGACATAGGACCCGTAGATCTGGCTTTCTTCATTTCAATCCCATGACAGTGGCACTAACCTTGTGTGGCCCTGTGGGTTGTGGGAGCCCTGACCACCCTGGATTTTGTCCCCACCGGTTCTGGGCTCCATTCCTGAGGTGCTACCATTGGAGTCAGAGCAGTGCTGCCCGACACCACCAAGCCACCTCAGTCCCTGGCATTGGCCTGTGATGTGGCCTTTGCACCTTGGAGACCCTAACCCAGGGCTGTTGCATCTGCATCCAGGTCTCAGCTCAGCCCTTGCAGGGTTTGCACTGCCCTCTAGTGGTCGGTTTCTTCCCCGGGCCAGCTGGGGAAGCCATTTCTTCCCCAGCTGAAGAACCTGTGATGCCCACGCTTGACTTTGCCTCCCTGACCCTTGCCCCCTGCAGCTGAAGGACTGATGTGACCACTAAATAGGACGATGGATGCCAGGACCCCAGCAAGGAAATAAGACAGAGGAATAGTGGACAGAGCCTGCTTCCCCCTCAGTGGCCTCCTGACCACAGCTCTCACTTACCCAGGCAGGCGCCATCTTTTTATACTCTCAGAGCATTTCTTGTCTCTATTCACAGATGAGTTCACAGCCCCAGAGAGGGTGAGTAACTTAGCCAACGGCACAGAGCGAGCAGTTGACTGCGCTCGGTTCACTCCTGTCTTGTCTCATTCCAGCAGCCTGGTTCTCATCCCACCTGCAGGGCTCACAAACAGAAGCCAGTCTTACTATGGCAGTGTGTTTGTGGCAGAAGAAAATACAGATGGGTTTACAGGTGCCTAGCTGAGCTGTTTCTGGCCCTGGCCTCTCAGCAGAAGCCATCAGAGTCCCAGGTTTCTGGGTTCTCCATTTAAAGTGTGTAGACAGCTCCTTTGTCCTGCCAGAGCTCCTGAGCCACCGATGTCCTGCTTGCAAGTGTGGTAGGTGCCTGGCTGCATTTTGGATCCAGGCAGTGGATGGATGCAATGCTCTGACTCCTGTGATTAATACTAGAAGAGCCCTTTGTGAGCTCACATCTGCAAGCAGTAATTGTAAAAGTTTGTCATTCACAGTGCCCTAATTTTTTGACATTCCAAAAATAAATATCTGTTCATCACAGGTATCTTGGAAAACGCAAAGAAGCAAGTTAGCAAAACAATGCATTTCCATACCCAGGGGTGTCACAGAATGGACTTAGGAATTTCACTTTCCCACAACCACCATGCCACATCACAGCTGGGATCCCGGAGCAGAACAGCTGTCCCCAGAGAGAGGACAGCTGCTCAGCACAGGAGCTGGCCCTGACCGGCCCTAGTGCAGAGCCCTGCTCACATCCCCTTCTGTGAATTCATGTCTGTGCTATCGGAATGGGGAGCATTTCCTCCTCTGTCATCCATGGAGTGATTCTGGCCTGGGTGTTGTGCAGTCTGGGTGGAACCCCTTACATCTCCTGGGCCCCCTGAGCAGGTGCCTTGCCCTCTCTGAGCTCATTCACTGGTCTCTTAGGTTGGCTGGGTGATAACTTCCAGACCTCCTGAGACAGTTAAATGAGAGTTCACAGGAGGCACTTCCCGCAGTGCCTGGCATACAGTAGGAGCTCAGTAAATGCTGACCACACATACCCCCTCCATTCTTACCATCTGCCTGTGCCTGTTACTGTCGCTGGGGAGTAACATGCTGCAATGAGGGAGTGTCGGGATTTGCTCACAGGCCTGACTGTGGCATCTCATTGCATTGTTACACAATTCTGTGAAGGACAGTGTATCTTCTATCATTGTGGGGGGGTTTGGTTACTATTTTTCTCTTTCCTTTTCTTTTTTGGTTGTACTGGGGATTGAACTCAGGGCCTTGTACTTGCTAGATAGGGACTCTACCACTTGTGCCATGCCATCCATGAGAAGTTTCATCCTTAAAGACATCAGATTGCTTTTGGCTCCAACCACCTCTGCTCCTCCCCCTTTCTGCTTCTTCGCTGTCCCCTGCTCATCCTCAGCTCCCCATCAACCTCCCCTCAGCCCTCCAGCTTCCTCTGAGCCTGCCCAGCCAGGGGGCAAGTCCTGTTGTTCCTCTAAGACCCACAGAGAGGCTCCTTGATGGAGCTCCTTGGATGATGCGGCTTGAGGTCTGTCATGTGATGCCCATCCTCCTCCCTCCGCCCCCCCGACCCGGGGCCAAGCTGTGTGGCTGACTGGGAGCCAGCATGGCTTGGATGCTCCTGTGTGTGTCAGCTGAGGAGCCTGTAACTTATGGTCTTCCTTTGTGGGGTTTTCTAGCCAGTGAGGGGCCTATCGTGCCAGGGACTGCAGTGACCACTGCGTCCAGGCACTATAGTGGCCGTCATGTCCAGGTTCTGAGGTGACCAACAAGTTGATGTGCAGAGGTGACTGTGTTCGGCATTGCACTGTGTCCAGGGCCACCCTTGTTCCAGCGAGTGGAAAGATGAGGCCAGCAAGCAGGGCTGGTGTGAGGATCGCCCCAGGGAGCTCTGCCACCTGCAGGTGGTCCAAGCAGGCAAGAGGGGAATCCATACCAGTCCATCACCAGGCAGGGTGCCTCTCAGGCACTGTATGGGGTCCTGCAGGTGGCATTCCTGTAACTCTGGCCTCAGATGACTCTGTCACAGACATGTGGCCATCAGCGTGCATGTCCCAGAATAGCACCTGAACCTTACTGGGGACATGGGCAAGAATCACTGTACCTTCATAGATGACCCCAAAGATATGAGAGAGGGGGCCCCCAGCTGGTGGGTGGAAGAACCAAAGCGGGTGCACCCCAGATCCAAAGCCCTGGCTCTGCCCACAGTGCGACCAGTGGCGTAGCTGTAGGGATGAACCACGCCCTGCTGTTGGGGACTGTGTCAGTGTGGGAGGCCAGCTCCCTGTTCTTTCCACTTCGCCCACCAAGCACAAAGTCCTCCAGGGAGAGCAAGGACCACTGAGCCCCATTCATCTGAGTCCTGGGTGGTGAGGGCAGGAGGCGAGGGCAGGAGGAGGTCCCTGGCACCCAGGTGGCACCCATGCCACCCTCTCCCTTGGTCAGAGCTCTGTTATGCCCTGAGGATATAGGTAAAGTCTTGAAGGGATGTCCTGTTTCCAAAATCACATCCTCCAAGCAGTGGGGTCTTGGGGAAGAGTGGGCAGGGCCATCGGTGCCTGTGCCAGAACACTTTCATCTTAGTTCGCAGCGTGATGTCTTCTGCATGCATTGACTCCCGCTGAACATCATAAGTCAATAGGACCGAGTGGACTGAAGTACCTTCTTGTAGCCCCCAAGCAAAGCCCCACAGCCAGGAGGTTTAAACAGCAGACTCTATAATCTGCTGTCCTGGGGCGGAAATCTGACATTGAGGGGTCACAAGCTGGTTTCTCCTGAGGCCACATCGCATGATTTGCAGGTGGCATCTTCTCCCTGTGACCTCCGGTGGTTGTCCTCTGTGTGTCTGCCCTGCTGTTATATTTTATAAGGACACAGATTGGATTAGGGCCTCCCTAGTGACCTCAATCTACTTAAATCACCTCTGAAAGGCTGTGTCTCCCATACAGCTCCAATACATTCTGACATTCTGCACTTCTGCATATGAATGTCGGGGGCGGGGGACACCTTTCAGCCCACAGCAGACGGGGCAGTGAACGCTGCTGCCACAGGTGTGGTTTGGCCTTTGCACAAGGCCAGGGGGCGCTGTTCTCTTGGTATACTGTCAGCAGGGAGGTTGAGTGCAAGTGTCCAGCAGGTGGCAGTAGAGTGTTTGAAGGAAGGCACCAGATCCTGTGGCTGGCAAGGGCATAGCTGGGGAGAACTCAGGGTCCATGAGATTCAGTCTCACTGCCCAGGCCTTCCTCGCCTAAGAGCATCGCAGGCAGGGAATGCAAACGCATTTTCCAGAAAGCACCCCAGGACAATGGGAAGACGTGCGTGTCTAAGGCAGTGCTTGTTTTTTTGTTATTTGTTTTTACTTTCTGACCTCTGCCTTCCTCTGACACTGGCTCCAGTGGCCAGAAACCACCCTGCTTATCCAGGGGAGGACGTGTGTCTTGCGTCACCCCTTGATAGCTCTCAACATCTTCGTGCCAAGCAAGTGCTGCATTCTTCTTAAATTGTAAATGACTTTCCATTTCAGACTAAGAGAAGAGTTGCAAGAATAGTACAGAGGCTCTCAGGTGCCTTTGGAGGCCACAACTGAGTTTTGCCAGCTGTTCCAGTAATGTCCCTTAGAGCCAGAGGGGCAGTCTGGGTCCTGCCCTGGACCGCTCCTCGGGGAGAGCCTCACACCCCCACCCCTGATCCCCCTGCGCAGGGTCCTCTGGAGATTTCACAGCAGGTATTTTTCAAGCCTGCCGTTCAGTCTGAGTTTATCTGATGTGTCCTTGAGATGACATCCAAGGCGTGCATGTGGTAGGATTGTCACCTGACCAATGCTGTGCTCTTGGTATTGCATCCTGTCAGGTGGCACGTGATGGCCACTTGTTCCTAGTGACGTCCCTCTGCCCAGCGACTGAGTGATGTCTACAGGGCTTCCCACCATATCACACTTTCCTAGTTGTAGTTCGTAAGTCTCTTGGGATGATTATTGAGACTGTAAGACCCATTTCCTCACACCCTGCTAGTGTGAGTTAATTATTATTAATTAATTATCACTGTCACACTTGCTAAGTGGAGATTTTATACCTATCATCCATTAGCTGATTCTGTATCTGTTACAAGGGAAAAGCTTCTCTTCTTGTTTGTTTACGTTTTCATGTATACCGAGGTGGGTTAGTAGAGTTGCATTTATTCAGTGTGTATTAACGAATAACAGCCGATAATATTGAATAATAATGCTTCAATAGTTATCCTGAGTAATCATTATTGTCCCAATTTGGAACAGGATGGCTCCTTTTTCCTTTGGCGTGTCCCCCCCCCCCCTTGCTTCTGGACACAGCAAGATGCAATCTGTGTCCCTTGTTCTTTCCCTGCCCCAGCCCTGCACTCAGCCATTTCTCCCGGGAGCCCTGCTTCTCCTTCGTGTAGGATGGTGTTAGAAACCAAGGGTGTGAGGTGCTCATTGCTACCGGGCTGTTGGTGATGTCACCCTCACCTACAGTGGCCAGAATTAGAGATTTGTGCACATGTATGTATGTATGCATGCAGTCGGGTTCCAGGACCCCTGGGGTGCCAAAATCCACGATGCTCAACGTAAGCTACCTAGGTCTTCCTCACAGCTCAGGTCAATCCCTTGATGACCTGTGATACTTCACACACTGTAACTGCTGTGCCCGGGGTTGTTACACTGTATTGTCGGGGAATCTTGGCACATTCAGCACAGATAGGGTTCTTTTCTATGTGACGTTGGCTGAATCTGTGGGTGTGGTACCTGTGGATTAGAGGTCCAGCTGCACACACTTGCATTTCTCCCTGTCTTTCTCTCTGGCAATAACTGTGAGGTCATACTACCCACTCCAAGCTGATCCCTCAGGAGCTATTCTTGTTTTCTCCCGAGCTACAGTGGTGGTGGTGCCCATTTTTGGCAGTGAGAAGCCAGCCCTGTTTCCCTGCGTTTGTGTACCCACCCGCTGGTCCTGCAGCCAGTCTGCCCACCGGCCAGCCCTAGCTTGCGGGCAGCCTTTATCTCTCTACCACCAGCCAGGCTGCGCCTCCTGCAGCAGGTGTCGTCTCCCTACTTCAACAAAGAATTGGCTAGCCAAGATGGCCCTTTAAAGAACTGACTGATAGAATGCAGACCGTTGGATGTTTGTTTGGTTTTTCTTTTGTTGCAAGGCAGCAAGTAAAACAGGAGAGGACCGGAGGCCCCTTGGGACAAGCTTCTGCGCAGACTCCCTCCTCTGTTTTCTCTCTCAGCATTGACCATATTTTGACCTTTGGTGAGGAAATGGTAACCTGATCCCGAGGATGTAACTTAAAACCTCATAAATTCAAATTAACTGGGGGAAGGGGAATAATTGAGTCTGGATAGTTCAGTCTGTTTGTGGTAAGGAAGTTCTTTTTATTGATTACAGAGCAATTAAATTAAGTTGTTACAAAGTGTCGCCTCCTACAAATCCTTTGGAAAGGACTGTTAAGTCCATGTGTCTGTCTCCTGGGCTCCTTGGCTGTCCCCCTCCTCTCTCCCTTTCCCACAACACACTTCCCTTCTGTGTCTGTGGCTCCGGCCACCCCAGGTCTGTGAGAGAGCTATTCCCTGGTGGTTCTGACAGATGCGCCAGCCTTGGGACTCCATGGGGTCCCCAGGCATCACCTGGGGAATGACGAGGTGCCCACCTTCATGGGAGGTACTTTGGGGTCCCTTGTCCCATAGGATTCTCCCTGTGAGGGGAGTGTTGAGCTCGTTTATAGGTGAGGACAAGGGTCAGCTCAAAGGCAAAGGCCTGGTAGACCCAAGGCCATGGCTTGGGTCCACATCTGTTTGACGCAAAGCCCCAATGACAGACAGCACACATCCACCCTAGAAGGGCTCAGAAAGAGGTAGGGACAACTCTGCTCTGGGTCCTGTCGCCTACCTAGGAGCTGACTTCATAGTCCTATGGGGCCATCCTTGCCTATAGAAGGGCAGGAACAGGCCCCTCCCCGGACACCACAGGGTCCAAGGCTCTACCTGTCTCCCTGGCTGCTGCATGCCACCTCCCTGCCCAGGAACTTGGTCCCCAGCACGGGGCCAAGCATCCAGTCACACGTTCTGTGGAGCTGGGTGCTGAGGTCTGAGGAGACCTGTGTGTCTTGGGTCCTGGATCCACGTGGAAGGCACTTTGGGGCCCCTTCCTGGACTCCCCATCCAATATCCATCCATATGTCCCCAACCTGTCAGGAGGCTCCTCCTCACTGGCAGCTGGGGACCCCGATCCCCGAGACAGGGCTGCTGGTATGTCTGGGCTTGCACTGGTCCACAGGGGCCTGCCACCCCAGAGGGTGCAGGTGGACGTGGGCAAGTGTCGGGTGTCAGGGTGTGGGTACGTGGCCCAGCTGGTGGAGGATGTCCATCTTAGCATCACTCTGTTCTCAGGCCTGCAGGTATGGCCACGTGCAGCACCTGGAGCATCTGCTCTTCTATGGCGCAGACATGGGTGCACAGAACGCCTCAGGAAACACGGCCCTGCACATCTGCGCCCTCTACAACCAGGTCAGTGGCTCTCGGGACCCCATCCTGCCTCTGGGGCCTGGCAGGGATGTCTCAGGTGACCCTCCCTTGCTGCTTGGGTGGGAACTGTGCCCGGAGGTAAAGGACACAGGAACCCCATGAAATAGTGGGAGCCCTGCTCATGGCGGTAATGCAGGGCTGGGTTCAGGACCTGGGTTTGTTTACCTCCGGTGCCTTGGTACCATGCTGTCAGTGGTACCAAGGAGCCAGCGTCCTCTTGTTCCCCTCAGCCCAGTGCCTGCTGTGTCCTCCTGAAGTCTCACATCTGCGTCACCCTGGGTACTGCACTTTTTAACAGAAAAATCACCAGTTTAGTCATTTTAGTGCACAGCTCGGGGTCACTGAGTGCCTTCATAGTGCTATGCAGCCATCCCCACTGTCCACCTCCTGAACTTCCCCATCCTCCCAACCCTGTCCCCATTGACACGGACTCCCCAGTCCCTCCCAGCTCCCGACACCCCTGTCCTCTCTGTGTCTGTGGATTTGACGGCTCTAGGGCCTCCTAGGAGTAGATCAGGCAGCACAGTCCTCTATGCCTGGCTGGTCTGAGCACCAGGTCCTCACAGTCCAATCCATGTTGCAGTGGCCTCAGAATTTCTTTCCTTCTTGAGGCTGTATCCATGGACCACGGTCTGCTTCGAATCTTCAGTTGGCGGACACTTGGGTTGACAGCTTTGAGTCTCACTGCAGTGCACACAGGCACTGCACGCCCATACCTGTTCACAACCCTGCTTCCGGTCCTTGTGAGGATGGACCCAGAAGTGGACTTTGCTGTGAACAGATACGTGAGGCCACGCTGCTCTGTGTCAGACCCACTTAAGAGTCAAGGGTAGCAGGCTGTGAGTGTGTTGGGAAGGCACCAAAGGCTAGTGGCACATGGCCCTGCCCTGTGAGAAGGCCAGTGAGCAGTCCAGCCCCATACCGTGATGCAGTGTGGGCTGGGTGGGGCATAGGGAGGTCAGGACAGGGCTGCTTAATGCCAGTGTCCTTGGTGCCCCTGGCCGGGTTCATCTGGAACCGCCCTGCTGAAGGTTTTCTCTCTTCCCCTTCTTTCTCTGCTTTTCCTTCTCTGATTCCAAGGAACTTCAAGCCCAGAGGGTGGTTTGATGTGGCCGCCATACCAGGTGGCACAGCAGAGTGGGGCTCCCTCCCCCCATGCCGAGAATCAGAGGGGTCACAGTGGAGGGGCTCTGCTGAAGGCCCCAGAACTCATCCTCTGTCAGCTGTTAGTGTTTTCTTCCAAGTTCAAAGCCTTAATTCCATCCTGCATGATACTGTGGCTTTGGGGTGACAGCTCAAGTCTCAGCCACATCCAAGTATAGTCCTAGCCCATCCATGGCTACTCACCAGCCCAGGCTCCTCCAAAGACCCACTTTGCTTGTGGCTAATAAACCTTCCTGGGTCCTTTGCCCCCAGAAATCTCCTATATATCCTTCAAGACCCAACTCAGATATACCATACCCAGTCAAGCCTTCCCTTAATGATCCCCTAATAGAATTTGTGGGTTTCTTATTATTAGTCCTTTAAAGACATAACCAGTGAAATGTCCAGGACCAGACCACGGTCACCTCTTACCTTTTTCTCTGCTGCCATTCCTTCCACCTTCTTGGGGGCATAAACACCATCTTCCATTGTCTCTCCAGCCATGCCTGTGGGAGCAGTGAGGCTGCGTGGGGTTGGGGCAGCATTTCAGCTGAGTTTCCAAGAGTGTTGTGCAGCCCCCCTGGCTCAGGTGGATAGCACGTTGGTGAGATTTGCACACAATGGGGGTCCTTAAGTCTGCCACGAGGCGTGGTTTTTGGAGTCTCTGTGAAATCCTGGCTCAGCTGCATTAAAGATACATCGTGAGCTTGGCTTGCTCTGGGAAAACATCTGCACCAACATCTGCTTCTTAATCACTGCCCGAGATGGGAAAACATCCCCTAATTTCCCCAGTACATTTCAAGCACATTTTGTCATGAAAAAAGTAGGAAATCATGTTTTCTGTCACTTGAAATAATTGTGGACAAGATGGTCTCTGAAAGTGTTGATGAGGTTTTTATCAGAGAAGCTTAAAACATTTTGGCAGTCTGTACTCTCAGCTGCCTACAAAGCTGGTCCTGCTCAGGGTCACTCCAGATGCCTCACAACTGTCCCCATACCTCATTTTCTGGCTCCAGAAGGGTCCCTAGTTGGCCAGGGATCTCAAGACAACCCTCCTCTGAATAGGGCTCAGCCAACCTTTCCTATAGAGGCCAGAGAGCATGCATTTTCGGCTTTGGGTGTGAACCCAGCTGCAACTGTTCAGCTCTGTGGCTGTGGAGACAGTCCATCAATGAAAAAGCTGGCTGTGTTCCAATAAAACTATTTACAAAGTAGGCAGTGGGCCAGTCTGGCCATAGGCTGTGGTTTGCTGAGTCTTGGAGGAGACGGGTGCACCTGCTCCTCTCCTCTCCCCTCCCCTCCCCTCCTCTCCTCTCCCCTCCCCTCCC